AAATCTTTAAAAATCTTCTTCTCAAGAACCACTGAGCCAGAAAAGCTGAAACTTATGTGGAATCATCCTGGGATAGTGTATATTCTAAATTGTTAAAATCATGACCCCCGGGGGTAGGGCGGGGCCACAATAGGGAATCCAAGTTTTACATTGAAATATATAGGAAAAATCTTTAAAAATCTTCTTCTCAAGAACCACTGAGCCAGAAAAGCTGAAACTTATGTGGAAGCATCCTCGGGTAGTGTAGATTTTAAATTGTTCAAATCATGACCCCTGGGGGTAGGGCAGGGCCACAATAGGGAATACAAGTTTTACATTGAAATATATAGGAAAAATCTTTAAAAATCTTCTTCTCAAGAACCACTGAGCCAGAAAAGCTGAAACTTATGTGGAAGCATCCTGGGGTAGTGTAGATTCTAAATTGTTCAAATCATGACCCCGGGGGTAGGGCGGGGCCACAATAGGGAAACATTGAAATATATAGGAAAAATCTTCTCAAGAACCACTGGACCAGAAAAACTGAAACTTATGTGGAAGCATCCTGGGATAGTGTAGATTCTAAATTGCTCAAATCATGACCCCTGGGGGTAGGGCAGGGCCACAATAGGTATTACAAGGGGGGAAGTCTGGTAATGAACAGCATGGCCAAAGTTACTCAGGTGAGCGATGTGGCCCATGGGCCTCTTGTTATGAAATAATTTGTTATAGTAGTTTAATTAGCATTATTTTTCAAACGTCATGAACATATATATTCATACAATTTATTTCCATATTGTAGGAGTTCCTGTATGGATCCATGCAAGAACATGATGAAAGTCTGTCCTGAAATATCATCAGAAATTTTACCTAAACTGTTGGATAAGATTGATCCAGGTCTTTTCTTTAAGTTCATTTTCTTTTAAAATCAGACCTGTTTGTTTTTGGTTTGATAGATCATATACCACAACTACATATTCTGACTTGCAAAGAAAGAGATCATATAATTTAAATGTAGTTACTGATGTACATTAAAAAATGAAGTGATTCAAGGGACAGTAATAAAATAATACACAATTATATGCATTGGTAGATGTGTTTGACTCTGCCTTAAAATAGAAATTTTATCCAACTTATAAAATGTTTGATTGAATCATATATTAACATGGAAGATATGAAATATTTTTGATTCTGATTAATTAACAGGTACAAGCTGAGATATCAAATGAGTTTTGTTTTATTTTTGTAGTTGAAGGGGAGGACATTCTTGGTTTTGTAGCAATATTTGCTGCAGATAAAAATGTCATATCCAATACAACACAACAGCTACTGTCAAAACTACAGCAAAAATCTCTAGGTGAATGTCTATTTTATATAGTAGTATGGGGCACTGTGTCATACTGTAGCAATTCAAATTATGTGCATGTAAATTGAAAAGAAAATAATGAAAACTGTGATAAAATAACAAATATATGGTATGTATTTCACCAAATTAAATTTGTTTGTTATTTTCAGCTATGGGGGAGTCATCATCACAAATCTGCCTATGGATTGCATCATGTTTAATTGACATTTCTGTGTATGTCAGAGGAAATTCAGACTGTGTGTCTATTTTGTCTACAGAGACTATTCCTAGTGTCTACAGATTAGTTGTGTCTAACTCTGTGTCTGATAATTACAGTGAAGTTTTGTCTAGTCCACAGGTGCTACAGTCACTGTCTACCTTTATCAGAAATACTGTGATTTTATTAGACTCTGGGTAAGTATTGAATACTGCATGTTTATATTAAATACTGCTATGTTAACCTAGAACAAACCTTTTGTTGAGTTAGTTTCAAAGTACAGACTTGTAAATCTTTTTTATGATGTCTTCATACCATAAATGTAAGCTTTGCTTTTGTAGACTGTACTCCAAACTATACAACTTTGTAACGAATCTCTATTTTGATGCTGATAAAAGTGATTTAGGATTAAAGAAACCATTTACACCTCTTCAGGTATGGTAAATTAGATTCCATACTTTAAATCTTTCTGTCTTTTATAATTGCAGATGTTTGAATGTGTCACACAAAAATTTAGACCCGTTGTGATAAATAGTGAAAAATTCTCATATGAGATGTTAAACAACATACAATGAATCGCATAAATACTGATGTACTTAACAAAGTATGTAAATAACAGAGTTTATAAATTTTCCTGTACTTAGTATGTCAGTCTAACATGTAGCTCTGTTTTTGTTGCAGTCCACTTCTCCCTCAGAGCAGACATCGCTTGTCACTATGCTGACTCCTGTAATATGCGCTAGTCCTAAACATGTAAGTTAACATTGAATGGTATAGTTTGATTCCGGCTTACTGTCAGCAAAGGAGGTGCTGCTCTCTTTAAATTTCTAACAAGGTAACATGACATGGCGCAGAAATTTGAATGTTCAATTGTAGGTTCTGGTAAATTTCGGATATCGGTGACAATTATGATATGTTCATGCCTATTGCATGTATATGTGTTTATATACCAGAAAGTATGTGTTAATAAATGTAAAATAATTTTGGATTGAATGTACAATATGGGATTTTAATAATGTAACTGTAATTTGTTCCAGTATACTCTTCCTGATTTAAATAAGTACAGGGACACACTCTGTGACTTGTCACTAAGAAGTAACCATGACTACACAAAATCTGAGGCAGCTAAATGTTTGGCTGGAATATTAAACAAAGCACTTGAAGGTAAAGGTGTATTAAAGTCTGTAATGATACATGTCAACTAAGAACATATTTTGAGAAAATAATTCCCTTAAACCTAGTTTGCAGACATGTAATTATTGTATATAAATCCAGCTTTTTTATTTTAAAACAGATGAGGATCTGACAGCATTCTTACAAAGTAGATGTGAATTTTATGAACAAAACTTGACATGTGACAGCAAAGATACCTCCTGTCTACAGCAGTGTGTCTGGGTCACAAAGGCTCTTGTCATGAGGGGGCACAGAGAAGCCAATAAGTTTGTAAAAATTGTAAGTTGTTAGAAAAGTAACAAAAAAAAAAGGAAATCAGTCTTGAATTTTAATTTTCCCTGCAGTTTATTGACAAATAGTAGGTAAATAGTAGTTAAAAGACTGATTTGTAAGTTGCATGAAAGATAAGAAAGGAAATATATCTTGCATTTGAGATTTTTTAGCAGTTTTTAAACAAATGATTGATAACAAAATTTAAAGCTGTAGGTAGATTTCTTATTCTGGTAAAATATGTTTATTATATACTACAATAATAGTGCATACTTAGTGCATCATTGCTTTAATCTCCATACAGTGGAAGATTTAATTTTTAATTTATACAAGATTAAGGAGAGGGTGTGAATAGGCTTTGCCTGTAGCCCAGTCCTGATTGAATTACTCAATAAAATATGTTTTAAGTACAGTGGAAGATTTCTTGATTGTCTCTTTCTATACTACAATAGCTTCTGAGGTTGCTGGGAAGTGAGACTCTAGGTGATCAGGCAGCAGAGGGATTTGGAATCATTCATACTGAATATGAAGATGTCCTCAATCCTTCCATGCATGCTAACAACCGATTCCTGTACAAACAGCGATTCTTCACAGAAAACTCCACCCACCTGACTGATGGCTTTCAGACAGCTTCCTCAGGTAACTAATAATAATTAGATGTAGGCATGTAAGTTTGAGATACAGGGCAAGATTTTAAAAACAGCAGGCCTGGATAAACTTAACATGCGTTCTATGAACATGTCTTAATTATATTTAACAATAGCTTAATATATAATAAGGTGCTCTTCTTTTTCTAGAGACAAAGAAGAATTACCTGATAGCTCTGTCTCACTGTCTGAAATCTCTCCCCAAGTCTGTTCTTGTCAGAGAGCTACCTCAGGTATGACTATTCATACATATTTTTATGTAAAACATAGACTGATAGATGAGATATTTACAAGAGACCACAAATAATGAAGAAAGCAATTAACATAATAGATCATGTAAGAAGTACTTGTAGGACGTATTGCACCTCTATATCCTGTAATTGATTAGTCACATTTTCATTGTTTAGTTATTCCCTATGTTGGTCCAGTACTTTATATCCTGTAATTGATTAGTCATATTTTCATTGTTTAGTTATTCCCTATGTTGATCCAGTACTTTATAACCTGTACTTTATTAGTCACATTTTCATTGTTTAGTTATTTCCTATGTTTGTCCAGTACTTTATATCCTGTAATTGATTAGTCATAGTTTCATTGTTTAGTTATTCCCTATGTTGGACCAGTACTTTATAACCTGTACTTAATTAGTCACATTTTCATCGTTTAGCTATTCCCTATGTTCATTACCTGTACTTGATTAGTCACCTTTTCATTGTTTATTTATTCCCTATGTTGGACCAGTACTTTATAACCCGTACTTAATTAGTCAAATTTTCATTGTTTAGCTATTCCCTATGTTGGTCCAGTCCCTGCTGTGTGAGAATGTCCAGCTACAACAATCCACTATGGAAACATTGTGTACAATGATTACCGATGCCCCAAACATCATTGTCAAACATGTGGATACAGTGATTCCTCAGCTTTTGAAACTGACATCATACAAACCATCAATGGTAGGTCAAGAAAACTGACATCATCAATTCAGTTATTGTAGATTAATGAAATCCAGTCATCGTAAACTGTAAACAAAACAGTCTTGGTAGTTTAATATACATGAACAGAACCATCTCTTTTATTTTGTGAGAAATTTAAAACTCATTTGCCTCACCCAATACAGAGTTTTATTTCACATCCTGGATGACTCGTACAAGTTTCCAAATTGTGAAAGTCTTGGGGGAAAAATAGCACAATTTAGGCTAAAAATTAATTAACACTATTCAAGTTATATCTAAAAATTAACATCACAAACCCCCACTTTTAATTTTCTTTTCTGAATATACAAGACAATTTTAACCATTTTGCGTAAATTCAGAAAAAATGTCATTACTTTTAAATGATTTTATTCCTTGTTAAATTTTTATTGCCAGAAAAATGACATTTCTTGAGTGCAGAAAGGTCAAATAATTGACTATGCGAAGTAATTTGAAACTTTTTTGTTGTCATAAATTTTAAAGAGACTATTCACGACGAAAAAAGACTGTGTTTTTTCCCATAATTTATTTGGATAAAAAATATTAGAGGAAAAACTTTGAAACATTGATTTATGTGTTAGATATAATTTCAGTGCAAAAAGGTCATATTCAATGCTCCATAGCGCCAAAAGAAGCGCATTCACCCCCATTTTTGGTTTTGATTTTTAATTAAGCGATATGTATAAATTTCAAAAATATACTTGATAATAAATTCTCAATACTTTTGATAACAGGATCCAACCTCCTTAAAGTAGGGTAAAACATCAAGGTGTATGTATGTTTTAGCTCACCTGAGCTGAAAGCTCAAGTGAGTTTTTCTGAGCACCCATTGTTCGGCATCTGACCATCTGTCAATCTTTCCCTCTTTCTGCCTGTAAACTTTTCACATTCTTAAATGTAACTTCTCAAGAACGACTGGGCCAATAATAACCAATGTTGACACAATACATCCTTGAAAACGGGGTTTCAAATTAGTCAAATGAATGGCTAAGCCAGCTTTCAAGGGGAGGTAGTCAAGAAAAGATAAAAATGGGGTGGGTCTTTCAAAATATCATCGCAAAAACCACTGGGTCAGAAAGGGTGAAACTTAATATATATATGATCGAAGTTTTACATGAGAATGAACATCAGAGCCATAAAGACTCAGATGAGCAGTGTGGCCCTTGGGCTTCTTGTTTTAAAAAAGTAGACCTAATAATGCTGGGGCATTGATTCAGAAGTAATCATCCTCTGTTCATTATTTCATTATTAATTACAAACACTGTTTTAGCACATCTGAGCCCAAGGCTCAAGTGAGCTTTTCTTTTCTTGCATTTATCTGTCTTTCTATCTGTCTGTCCATCTATCTGACCATCCGTAAACTTTTAACATTTTCAACTACTTTTCAAAGAACCACAAGGCCATGTCACAAAGTATCTTTAGGTGAAGGGGATTCAGATTTGTTTAAATGAAGGGCAACATCCTCTTCCAGGGGAAAATATTTAAGAATTATTGAAAATTTAATGGTACATTGTGTCCTTTAAAAATCATCTTCTCAAACACCACCAATCCAAAAAAGATGAAACTTAGATGGAAGCATCCTAAGGTAATGTAGATTTCAAATCATGACCCTTCTGAGGGTAGGGTAGGACCAAAACGGGATATCAGAGTTTAACATATGAATATAGAGGAATAAATCTTTAAAAATCTTTTTCTCAAGAACCACTGGGCTATTTGAAACTTATGTGAAAGCTCACTTTATAGTGTAGAATCAAATTTGTTCAAATCATGATCCCTAGGGGTAGGTTTGGACCACAATATATGATCAAAATTTTACATGGGATTTTATATATATATAAAAATCTGCTTATGTAGAATAGCAGAGCTATTGGCACTCAGGTGAGCATTATGGCACATGGACCTTTTGTTTTCAAGTCCCCATTGTTTTGATAAAGTTTGTCTGTTTCACAAGTTTAAAAAATGAATGTCAATTGTTTTTCTTGCCTTGAAGTATACTTTAAAAAATAATATTAAAACTTAATCACAGATTTATTGAACACATTACAGAAAGTAAGATGTGCAGCTTTGAGGTGTTTACATGAGTTGGTGTCTCTTCCCTCCCCTGTGATCTTGCCATACAGACCTCATGTGATTAAGACCCTGGAGGGGGTCCTGGACGACAAGAAAAGGCTCGTGAGACTAGAGGCTGTAAAATCTAGGAATGAATGGTGTGTATCGTCTTGTTATAGTTCATAGCAAATAATGGTGTTTAGAGCACTATAGATGAATCAATAACTCCAATATGGAATTATTGTAAAAAGAGGGAGGGTATTTAACTTGTTAACAAATAAGGTTTAGAAAGTTGAAAAATTTTCACATTTCATTAACCATTTTATGCTTTAGCATTCATACTTTTCTACTTGAAACATTTTGATCTTATATGAACACCATTGCAATGATATTGTAAAAGTGGAAACTTTGATGATGAGGAAAGGTTGACGAAATTGACGAATTTCTAATAATTGTTAACTTTCACATCACTGTTAAAGAGCACTATAAAATACTAGTAGATGGTCAAAGTTTCCACTCGCCATTTTTCTAATATACCAAAATCGTCAAACTTTCATCCCTTCAATATAACCACTTTTACGGTATTGTTGTCAAGCCTAACCTACATTTCATGCTTTAATCTGATTATGATAAATCAGTTTATTCTAATGACCAAATTCCTCAGTTTTTTGTTGATTTAAAAAATAACAGAAGAATTTTTCAAAGCACAAATGAATATGTACTACAGATCAGTATAGTTGGTATTTACTGATGATGAGCTTCTTCTTTTCAGGTGTTTGTTGGGGCAACCTGGAGGCCGGACCTGATGTCTGATTATAGAAATAATGTGTAAATAAATGTATTTATAATAGGGATGTCAATTTTGTCAATAATTCATATTCGAATATTCAATGTAAGTATTCGAATATATTCGAATATTCGATAAAATAAATAAATCTGTTTTATTTTAAATATGCATCATCCTACTCTCATGAAAGGTTTAGCGAGGTATACTTATATTGGAAGTAAAATTGTATGAAGACTTTTGTAGGTGTACAATAAGAAATTCTATTTGATATTTGTCAATGTTTGAAAAAAAAAATTGAATTAAAGGTAGAAAAGTATAATTTTAACAAATAGTAGCTCCAACTGAGGAACCAGTCGTCTTACAAAAGGCGTAACGGTATACTGTTCAGATTTCAATACGTGTAATAAATTACAATTATCTCCCTAATAAGAGATATGATTATAATCTTTGATACAATGTAAACAATTATTTCAATAGACAATTTTCCTAGCTATAGGTAATTAACTAATTTCACGATAATGAATATAAAATTCAAGATTATGTACAACCCGAGATAATCAAGTAATTTACACATTTTTTCTGAAAATAAGGCCTTTACAATATTAATTACAGATTATTTCTATCGGACATTCATTCAATGATCAATTAATTTTATTTTGATAAGTATACTCTTTACGCCTTTTAGACATTCTTGGATTTCATTTTTGTCCTCGATTCTAGATCCGATAGTATCTAACTCATAAAAACTATGAAAGTACGCTTTGTACATGTATTATACATAAAGCATTTTTGTACAATTCTTTAACACCTTACTCAAAACAAAATACATGTAATTTAGTAAAGCTATAAGATAAGAAAGTAGTGAAAGAAATCAGGCGATCGAAATTGATCGCTAGTAAACTAAATAGGGATAATTCCAGCACTGTTCTAATCAAAATTTATTAATCACAGTACTTATTTTTAAGAAATCTGAAAAATACCGAATATTCGAATCTTAAATTCATATTCGAATATCAACTCATCGAATGAATATTCGAATGTTCGAATTTTCGTTGCCATCCCTAATTTATAATAGAAGAAATGTTGTTCATGTACTTATTATTCTTATGAGAACCAAGGAAAAGAAAAGGAAACTGGTGTATTGAATTTTTTAGCTGCAAGAATATAGCCCTCTACATTTTTTTTTTTGGAAAACCAGATAGAAAATATGGGAGATGGCAGTATTATTGCAGTAATAATTTTTTTTGTACCAAGCTGGGCTACTTTTTTCACTGCTAGCTTTCTCCAATTTTATGTAGCACTGTCCTCTTATAAAGACTATCATTTGATCGAGAAAGGATATACATGTATATATAGGCTATGCAAATTCAAATCAAGTTTATTATGTTTAAGAAAAAAAAACTTATAATCAAATTCAAGTGGAATGTTTTAAAACTGCATGAAATCTAGCTGTTGAAATAGTTTTTAGCTCACCTCAACGAAGTTTGGGGAAGTTTATGTGATACCCTCGGCGTTTGCATCTCAGGTTAAAGTTTTTGGTGCAGTTTTCTTTTTAAGTACTTCTATGACCTAAATTAATTAGAGATGCATGGAAGATGCTTCTAGTGTGTTTCATTGTACCAGTTAGGGTTTCAGATGCTGCAATTTCAGCTAGGGAATGACCAGGTTAATGTTTTTGTAGCAGGTTAAAGTTTTTGCAGCAGGTCTCATTTCCAAGTAACTATAAGCCCTATGTTGGCCAAACTTGCATGAATAATACATACGAGTATAAGAATGCAAATTACCAGGCTTGCTTTGGATGTTGGATTTGACCTACATTTTCCGGATGAGTGACCAGGTTAATGTTTTTGGTGCAGGTCTATTAAAATGAAACTATAAGGCCTATCTGAACCAAACTTGCATGGATGATGCATCAAAAGATGAACACTCTTAAACTTGCTTCAGATGCTGGATTTGAATTACATTTTCTGGATGAGTGACTAGTTTGAATTTTTTGGATAAGTCTGTTCCCAAGTAACTGCAAACCATATCAGATCAAAATTGCATAAATGTTGCATCTTGGGATGTACACTACTAGATCATTAGTTTAATGAGGGACTTTGCCTTACTTAAAGACAACATTGGTTGAGGTGATCTCTGTAATCTCTGATTACCTCTTTTTTTTTTAACTGAAGGCATCATTTTACAGAAATTCCAAGATATGCAATAGAATGTTTTCATATAACCCAAGAAAATTTCTCGTCTAAGATCTACAACGTAACAGACATATTATACCATCTGGTCTGGCACGGAATTTTACCAAATCCACCAGTCTCTTCCATATTTTATTTTATTGGAGAGATTATTATTATGAGGTTTAGCAAATCGTATTACCTTTTATGCCAAGTTTGGTTAAAATAAGTTCCCATACCTAGAAAAAGTAGACAATGGTAAGTATAATTTCATTCAATTAAATATAATTTTTTAGTTAAAAAAGGTTATTTCCAACTACTATATATTGCACATTTACATTTATTGCATGATGGTGAGGGAAATATGAAGATTTATTCAGCCAAGAAAAATCATTCCCCGAGGGCATAATAATATATGTTTTCCACTGGTGCCTATATACAAACATGAGTGTGCATTTACCTGACAAAACAGATGTGAAAATGCCTATATGATAAAAATTAGACTCAAATAAAAACATATTTGAATATAACGAATCTCCACTTTCATCCTCATTCAGCAATGATCATTTATAATTTTGAAGTATTTTTAACAAAATTCCATTTAAAGAACACATTCATTTTCATATTGTGCAGAAGTGTTAGACAATAAAATGCTTTCTTTGTTAATGAGGGAATGTATGGTTTAAAATACAGCAAATCTCATTTAGTACCAACACGGATGCATTTATAGCTTACAGATATAGCAAAGGTTTTTTTTTAATTCCCAGCAAATTTCTTCATAACTGTTTGTAAAAATTTACTATTAGGAACTTTTATGTAGCAAATTTACTTACATAGCTAACTGATTTTGAAATCGCTAAAATTCCTTCTTTAAAAAAAATATAACGATTTTTAGCTCACCTGAGACGAAGGCTCAAGTGAGCTTTTTTGGCCGAAATTTGTCCTGTCCGTTGTCTGTCGTCGTTGTCGTCGTCGTACACTTTTCACATTTTCATCTTCTTCTTAAGAACCACTGGGTCAATTTCAATCAAACTTGCCACAAAGCATCCTTGGGTAAAGGGGGTTTTAAGTTTGTTCAATTGAAGGGCCACACCTTCTTCCAAGGGGAGATAAGTATGAATTTGTGAAAAATTAATGGCATCATTTAAAAATATCTTCTCAAGAATTACTCTGCTTGAAATTATGAAACTTACGTGGAAACATTGTGAGGTATTGTAGATTCAAGTTTGTTCAAATCATGACACCTGAGGGTAGGGTAGGGCCACAATCAAACAAGGGGTGATCAAAGTTTTACATTTTACATAGGAATACATAGGAAAAAAATCTTTAAAATTTTTCTTAAGAACAGCAAAGCCATGATTGGTCATATTTATATGGAAGCATTCTCCGTTAATGTAGATTCAAGTTTTCAAATCATCACCCCTAGGGGTAGGGTTGGGCCACAATGGGTGATCAAAGTTTTACATAGGAATACATCATGTACATAGGAAAATTCTTTAAAAATCTTCTTCTCAAGAACAGCAAACGCACGATTGGTCATATTAATATGCAAGCATCCTCAGATAGTGTAGATTCAAGTTTGTTCAAATCATAACCCCCGGGGGTAGGGTTGGGACACAATAGGCGATCAAAGTTTTATATTCAGTAGGAATACATTGGAATTTTTTTTTAAAAAAAAACCTTCTCAAAAACAGCAAAGCCATGATTAGTCATATTTAAATGGAAGAATCGTCAGGTAGTGTAGATTTAGATTTGTTTAAATGGGTACAGTCCACTAAATGTTTTCCCATAGGCGGCAATGTTAACGTTTCTTCACATAGCAATGTCCCTAATTTTCGTTCAGCAGTGAGTGACCCCTCAAATCAAAGCACATCAAGTTGTCTTTCCTTGGTTAAAATCTCGAGGTGGCATGTCAGATTCGTTTTCCGGCAAAATGCGTCTGTCTGCGTTAACCTCTGAAAGTGAAAGTAGGGGAATTCCAGACTTCTCACTGGTGTTATAATACATAAAATAATTCTGCTGATCTTATTGATAAATTACATCTGCCAAGCTTTTTTGCAAGGGAACATACTCCTTATCAACAAGTATGAGGCTCAGTTTAATACATTATCACAGTTTTTTTTATTCAGGTCTGCAAATTAAGGAACTTGTAATTTTTTCTGCACTACTTTCTTCCCCTTCCGATTCTAAAAATAATTAGAGGTATGTACCCAAATCATGACCCCTGGGGATAGGGTGGGGCCACAATGGGGGATCAAAGTCTAACATAGGAATACATAGAAAAAATCTTTAAATTCTTCTCAAGAACAGCAAAGCCATATATAATAGGTCATAATAATATAAAGCATCTTAAGGTAATGTAGATTCAAATTTGTTCAAGTCATGACCCCTCAGGAGAAAAGAGGGGCCATAACAGGGGATCATAGTTATACGAAGGAATATAAAGGATATATCAATAAATATTTTCTTCTTAAGAATAGCAAAGCCATTTTGTGTCATTAAGTCAAAAGCATCCTTAGGAAGTATAGATTAATGTTAGTTCAAATCATCCCCCCTATCCCGAACCACTTTTATATTTAAACTTTTCAAGTATGAAATGATTTCTGCTTTTCCCTAGCCAAAGTGCTCAGTGAGCGATTTAGCCCCCGGGCCTCTTGTTTTGGATAAATCGCTTAATTTGCGTTTCACTAAAAATTCCACTTTTTCAATATTTTATTCATAATTGTCATAAATCAAAGCATAATATCGAATCAAATGACATTATAACATTGCAATTATTAACTGTAAGGAAAAGGGGTCTAAATTTTAAAATGAAAAAAAAAATTTTGAATGTTAATATCATGTATGCCGTCATCCTGCATTTACAGCAGCTGGTATCAGTTTAAGCATTAAAT